AATAAGACAATAGTGGCGTCGATTCCCGTATTTTGCTACTATTTACGATGAGGACGGTTGTAAAGCATGGATTGCTAGTGGTGCAGTGCTAAAGTACAACCCAACCTTTATGTTTTGCAAGGGCACAGCAGTTGACTTGTGCCGTCTACAACACATACCACATATAGAATGAGTGGAACACGTTTTAGATTCGGCATTCCAGCCAGAACATCATGTCACGTTGTGCAAGTACAGAAACCTTGATCATGAAGTAAATTCAGCGCAAGAAAAATTTTCATTCCCTAAGGACCCATTCCGATGCGTTATGTTAAGCTCATCTTGTCCTAACTATCAAGACAGCGAGAAATCCTTGAACACCATACCAGGGGCCGACATTTGGTTCTTTATGTGGCTTTTTTTTGACAAGTTTACTTGTGGAGCTTACGCTGGTAGAAAGCGAGCTCCTCACCCTCCAGAATGTAACCATCAACACGGCCAGACTGGCCGGGTCGGCTGGAAACAACGGCGTAAAGTCGACCAGCCTCGAACTGCTTCTCGATGGCGCTCTCGACCTTGCCGCGGGAAGACAGACGGGCAGCCTGCTTCTTCTCAACAGCGTTGGACTTCTTCACCTCCTCCTCGGTCTTGCCCTCCTTGGCAGCCTGAGCCTTCTGGCGTCTTCGGCCGATGGCCTGGCCGTAGTGGGCCTCGTACCACTGTCGGAAGGGAGCGGCATCGACCTGGACGACGGCGCTCTTGGTGAGGGTGTTGGTTCGGACAAGCTCGTTGTTGGAAGGGTGGTAGGCGACGGCAATGACACGAGTCTTGCGGGTCAGACCCTCGGAACCCCAGGCAAAGTTGCCGGAGTCGAGACGGAGGGCACGGTACTTGTGGTTACCACCTCGGGTTCGGACGGTGTGAATGCGCTTGGGGCCAATACGGGTGTTGGCACCCTGGCGACCAGCCTCGAAAGCGCGCTTCTTCCCTGTTGTCAAAGGTCAGAACGTATGTCCAAGAGGATCATACGGGCTTTCGGAATTATTACGCACGGTAGTAGGCACGCTTGGCACCGGAGGCGGAGCGCTTGTGTCGAGAGTCACGCGAGATACCCATGATTGCGGTTTCTGTGAGAGAGAAGAAAAGACGAAGTGGTTAGCCAGAGTCCATGTTTGACGGAGACGGAGACGAAGACACAGGGAACAGAGGAGAGCGAGCAACTCAATCGGCGGGTTCTGCGAGATGGGGAATCATCGAGCAGCGCAGCGCATTGATTCAATTCGTCTCTTCGTTCTTGTCGTCTGGCAACTCACCTGATGATGTTGGCGCTCACCAGGCAATCGAATTGGCGGATGGTCGTGAAGAACTTTTTGGCTGAACGAGGATACAAGCTACGGAAACGTGGGTGGAGGATTTGGCAAGTGCGGGAGGTTAGGGCTTGCCAAAACTGATTCGGTAAGAGCAGCACGTGACCCGGGTGCATCGTTATTGGGAAGATAGATGTTCCACTCAAGAGAGCAGCGAGTTCTAGCGTGGGTCCGATACACTCCCCCTGTCAACTAGTGACCAATAGTATAACATCATGAAAATCAGCATCAACTGGAAAAGTGTCCTAGTTAAGTGTTCACTGAGCACCTTGTACCATCATCTTTCCAGGGTCAGGTTCTCTTTTTTATTATTTTTCGCATTCCATGTAGTATCTATCTGTTTCAGTCCCAGTCTCTGAATTCCCTCGAATTTGATAGCAAGGATCGTGAAGATCTTCCTAGAACTGCCTGTCTCAAAATCTCAAAAGTCTGTCCAAGGCGCCTCCAAACGTATCGTCGGCGCCGGCACATCCAAATCATTTACGAATAAAAATGATTTTGAGCCCATGCCATGGGTAGCACTTCCGGCTTTCTACCGGTTTCTACTTTGAATCTTCCCTCTTTTCAATCTCTTGCTCCTTTTCCTCGGCTTTCACCTCACGCTCCTGTCCAATCGTCTTCTCGTTGTCCTCTTCCGTCCCTTTCGCGTCATCTTCGTTTGCATTTATGGATTGAAGAAGTGTAGCGGGAATGAAATGGGCTTCGTCTGACTGCAACTCGATTGGCGGGGTAATAGAAGGCTCCTCTGGCGTAACAGCACAAAGATAATAGGATCCAACTTGAACAGTTCTCTTATCGTTACGGACTGCCCCATCAGAGCTGTAAGCGCCAGATACTTCCGAAGATAATGTGCGAGAAACGAGATCCAGCCTTGGGAGAGGCAGGCACCGGCCCTGTCGACTGGAGCGTTTGTCTCCCTCCTCCTTGAGTTCGGTGAGGGTTGGCCATCCAGCACCATACGGTGGCTCGTTCCGTGATGTGCTGAAGCAATTGCTAGCTGCGAACACGGGGGAAAGACAATCGTCAAATTCCTTCCCACGGAGGAGCTTCACAACAGGTTTGACTCGAGTCTCCACGCCTTCATCGACGCCCGCATTCGTCCTTGCCAGACGTTGCTTGACCCCTTGATCGAGCTTCCTCTTCTTTGATTCTGCCAGATTTGCCTTGAAAGCTGTTAGCTCTACTGGGCTCTGAGGAACAAATGGAGACTGGTCGGCACTCATGTAGCGCAGATTGGCCATCATCTTCTGAAACACCTGCCGTTCCTTTGTAGCAAAGCTTGTCCAGCTCTTGGATTGAGACCATGAACCCGACTCAGATCCATTCAAATTGAAACTCTGTTTCAAGGTAGAACTGAACGTCTGGGGAAGTTGGCGCGTGGAAGATGGACCTCTGGGTGCATTCTGGAGCGGATCAATCAACTTATGAGTTTCTCGAGCTTCGTTCTCCTCTTGAGGTGTAGTCTCTCGCTTAAGGTTGATCTTCGCACCTCCCACAACGCGAGGAGAATCGTGTGAATTTTGTGCCTGTCGAGTTGGGATAAACCCTTTGATCTTACTATAGTCAGCCGCCTTGCGAAGCTCTTTCTTGACTTCTTCTTGCGTCGAGTCGTCTCTGCAAACAGCACTGAGGAGTTGACGGTCTTTACCAACAGGCACTGAAGTCATCTAAATATCAGGATACTTGTTGTGCTTTGACCTCAGCTGTGTCCCTCCACTTTGATCCTTGATCGTATCGAATTCAGTTCTCAAAGGGGTTGTAGTATCAGACATATTGGTAGCTGTACCGGAGCTAGAGTTGCTTGCCTTGGTGGAACTAGAGGTACTGGCTTTTTTCTCATGCTGGCTTCCCGTGGGCTGGCTCCTCGACTCACTCTGTATATCACTGCCCCGGGAAGTTGGATACAGTACAGACATTTCTGGAGGCTGCAGATGCATTCGGTATTGACTATAGGGCTGAATTTGTGGTCGCATATGTGACTCTGGCTGATAATAAAGGAAGTGCTGTGGTGGCAGGTTTGGTGGTGGCTGGGGCGCATAATACATCCCACTCTCTCCCTCAAATGAAGGCCAATCCGTTTGTTCATAATGACTATCATAGTCCGCCGGATAGTCCATCATCGCTTCTGGTTGAGCCGAATGAACCGACCACAGGGCAGGGGCAAGTTGCCATGGTAGAGGCGAGTATGGCATCATAGGCGGCACCAGAGATGGCCCAATACGTGGCGCATAGTTGATCGGCGGATACATCATTTGATGGGGAGGTTCTGAGGGAAAGTGGTTGTAAGTGGGATTAGGGAAAACCGGAGGAACTGAATACCCAGCCGATGACATGACTCTCTGGTTTGGAGTAGGTGTACGCCGTAATCTGGAGCCTCGCGGTCTACCGTCTGGATGGGGAGTTGGGGGCCTCCATGCCCGCCTAGGAGACCTGGTTCTCGCTCTGGTGTCAGCTGGCCGCATGCTTGCACTGGTTTTAGGACGACTGGAAGAGTTGTGAGATGAGGCCGGAGGTGTATAGACGTCGGGTTTGAGGAATTCAAGTGACTTCCTCGGAGTGTAAACAGTCGGTTTCAGATACTGCAGGGGAGGCTCATTACTACTCTCTTCCTCATCTTCAGAGGACTGTGAGAACTGATGCCCTGTGTTCAACCGTTCATCGTTAACCGAGTTTGAAGACAGGGCCCGGTCGTCTTTGCCCCTGGACCTGCGGCGCCTGCCTCGTTGTTTCGTTTTCATTTTCGGGCTCCGAATCTTGAGAGGGTCAACCTTGCTCACAGCTCGAAGAGCAGGGAACATGGATTCGTATCCTTCGGGGTCGATGGTAATGGAAGGAATTGTTCTACCTCGGGGTCGTGCTCGAGGCGAGCGCACATCTTGATCTGGATGTCGTGCTTCCATGGAAGACGGAGTTGAAGAACCACCTTCGTCGGGAGAGAACTCATCTTCCGAAGGTTCAACCGGGATAAATGTTGGCGCACAGGGATTCATGATGGTGCCTGGCGACGCATATGTGCAGGTTTTGGAAAGCGATGAATGTGTAACAAATCAAATGTGTTGACCAATATTCCAGCTTGACAACAGAGTCAAAAGATAGGTTATGACAAGCAGGTTTGTCGGCTTGTTAGTTATTCGCTTGTTATCAGGTAACCGTAAGCTATAGGACTGAGAGAAAGGCCTAGGTCAATTTAAGCTGGCCATGTTTTTTTCTGAGTATGCTTGCCTATGAAATACTGATATAATGCCCAGATTTGAGCAAACAAGCTGTATCGGATACTTTTCATAGAAGGGACAAGATGCCTCTGACAAAACGGTGATAGTAGTTTGTGGCTAAAGGAAACTGTTTGGGGCAGGCTGCGAGTATAAGAGAGGAAGAAAAAGCTCCTAGCGAAGAGTAGAATGACGAAGGCTCAAGCGCCAAGAGGGCGTGCGTGAGGTTAATACGTGAATGCGTGGCAGCTGATCGCCAACTGCCGGATAACTACTAGCAAACAAACCGCAGTGACTGAGAGATGCTTTTTTGGGATAGTTTGGCTTGGAGGAAATAAGAAGAAAAAGAAGAAAAAGAAGAGAAAAGAAAAGAAGAGAAAAGAAAAGAAGAGAAAAGAAAAGAAAATAAAGAGTGAATGTATTTTTACTCAGGCACGTATTCGAGACCATGGACGAGGTGGTGGTGAGGCTCATGGGGCTGATCCTGCTGGCAGTTGTCAGAACTGTCAACACCAGAACAAAGTGAGAGACTTTCTGGCTGTTGAGTCGAAAGATTAGATGATTTTGATACTATCTTACGCTATCTCTTGTCCAGGAAAGGGCATACTACGATGTATTTCATGAACAATACTACTCCTGAGACTCCATGAGACTCCACGAGACTCAATACTACCTACAATACGAATGCTAAGCTGTATGGTTGAGGGCAAATATGGCTCTATGATAGAAGACCTGTTTAACAACTGCAATAGATTGAATACCTTATAGCTACCTCAGAGCAGAAGAAGACTACTACTACACCTCCCCCTCCCCCTCCTATCATCTACAAGAATAGCAAGAAGATCAACAATTATCACTCGGCCAGCCCTGCCAATCGCAATGATAAATACTCCTGAGTGTTCTGCTTATGTCTCTGATTCTATTCATAGCATCCAATAGTTTGATGTAAATGGTATATAAAACTCAACTGTGTAGGAATGTAAGTTATCCTAAGTGACAAAAATGACCCATCTAAAGCCCTTCTAAATTCATACCAAACTTACCTGAATCTTTTTACCGCTTAGTACTCCGTAGAGGTCCAAAGTTTTGGCTCCCCGAGGGTCACCTCAGTCAATCAGCTGCCTCAATTGTCACAAGCTGACAACTACTTCACGTATGGGGCTCTTGATGCGCTGACACCTCTTCTCAACAAAGTTTAGCCCCAGGGGGCTCAACAGCGGGAAGGAGCCTCCATCACACCCCACCAAAATCAGGCCGAGGTCCCCGATTGAGAGACGGTACGTACCTGGTATATCTAGGTAATCTCGTCCAATAATTATTTCCTATTTGTTCTCAACACCATTGCATCCTTTGATAGGATCTTGTTTCCCCTCCAAGTTGTTCACTTTGAGTCAACGATACAGACACGATGGCTTCTCTTCGATCTATCACGCTCACCAATCGCTGTATGTATTCTACCATCTACACGGCCTCATTCCTCTTGGAATCAAGTTAACATTCTCTAGCTCCAAGGCAACCGATCAAGAACCTCCCACAGTCGATTGAGGTCGACCCTGATACCACTGTTGAAGGACTCAAGGTCCTCATTGCAAAGGAAACCAAGCTTGGAGACTTCAATCGCATCGGAATCTATGATCCTACCACGAAAAAGACTCTCAAGAACCGCAAGGCTCGTCTCGTCGATGAGCCCGCCGTAGTTTCCACTGGCGAGGTTCTCGTAAAAGACATGGGTGCGTCGAAACTGGTCAAAGACCTTGAGTGAGCATGTTCTAACTCTTGTCACAGGATATCAAATCGCTTGGAGAACCGTCTTCGTCGTCGAGTATTTTGGACCCATCATCTTCCACGCCCTCGCTGTCGCTGCTCGCCCCTACATCTACCGCAATGGAGACGGCGACATGTCTCGAACCCAATGGATCACCTTTGCTATGATCATGCTACACTTCTTCAAGCGCGAGTATGAGACGCTCTTTGTCCACAAGTTTTCTGCCAACACAATGCCCTGGAAGAACATTTTCAAGAACAGCTTCTTCTACTGGGCTGTCTCTGGTGTTCTCTGCGCCTACGCCATCTACCACCCCAACTCCCTTGCAGCCAAGGCCGACGTTCCTGCCATTGATGCCGTTGGCGTTGCTCTTTATTGTTTTGGCGAGTTTATGAATGCCCTCGTTCACCAATATCTTTCGAGTCTGCGTTCTACTGGTGGCACTGAGCGCAAGATTCCCGTTGGTTATGGTTTCGGCATTGTCACTTGCCCAAACTATTTGTATGAGGTGCTTGCCTGGGTCGGAGTCATCCTTGTCAGCCGTGACTGGACCGTCGCTTTCTTTATCTCTATTGGTGCTGCACAGATGATTAGCTGGGCCAAGGGTAAGGAGCGCGCCTATCGCAAAGAGTTCGGTGACAAGTACAAGAAGAAGAGATACGTCATCTTCCCCGGTCTTATCTGAGAAGGAATGCATTTGCAAACAGCTATTTCAGCAGGCACAGATCAGGAGACGCATCAATATGGAGGCCATCATGGGCTACACTGTAGGCAGGTAATAAAAGACGGTTTGGATCGGAGTAGACCTGGTGGATATTCAGTATTAGACTATCATGCTATAGTAATGTTCAATAACGAATGGTTCTCATAAAATTATATACCGTGGATGCCAGTTCCCTAGTCCTATAATATATTCAGAATGGCCGTGTTCCATCACGCGCTCGGTGATCTTTCGTCTCATCGTGAGATCGTTGACATAGAAGCCGTATCTGATCCCTTAGCCCCCCTACCAACGCTGGAGTCTGCCTCTGTCAAGCTCCTACTAGCATCGGAAAACGTGCCCGGCGCATGGCTCTCCGTATCGATATCCATCTCAACATCGAGCGTTTTGCGCCCTTCGACACCCTTGCCCCTCTCTTCTCCGTCAAGCTTCATGGCCCGCTGGTCCCCGTCCTCGTCCTCGTCCTCATCACCACCGTCACTCTCACTCCCAGTATAGCTTCCACATTCGCTGCAGCTACAGCTGCGATCGGAATTCGCGAGTCTGACAGTCTCCTCCAGGACGAGAAAGTCGCGCTCCAGCACCTCCGCCCAGTTCTGCACGTTGCCGAGCTCCTTTAGCCTCCGCGCCGCAGCGTCTGCCTCCCGCGCAAGCTTAACGTTTTCGCGACGCAGTCCTTCAGTCGCACGTTGCACATCCTGCGCCTGCTTGCTCAGCGCCGCAGCGTTGGAATGCAACGTAGATGCGCGCCATTGCAGCTCAGAGTCCATCATGTTCTCCAGGGTTGCGACCACAGCGCGACGTGCTTCCGCTACGTGGCGCTGTGTCTCGGCCGACGGGAGCGTGGACTGTAGTTGCGGAGGCGGCGGCGAAGTCTGCTGCGCTGCGGAAGGGATTTGTGCGTGAGCATGGGCATGGGCAACTGAGGGAGATGCGATCGTGGGAGGAGGAGACGTCGGCGGGCGAGGAGATAATGAGGATGAGGAAGATGCCGAAGAGCCTGTGGCCGCAGCTGAAGTGCTGGACTGATGATGAGTAGTCGAGGAAGCAGCTGCTGTTGACATGGTACGCTAGATGCCAGTGGAATATTGATGCACTTTACAGTAATTGGTTTAAAGATGAGATAAGAGATGTAGCTTCGCCGTTTCACGTTGCCCATACTTACACTGCATGTTGGTGGGGTCGAGGTACATAGTAGGTAGTTACACTTGGTCTCGTCGCGGCTGACGGCCAAGATCATGGGATCTGACTTTCAGGGTGTGACACCAGGATAGCTTAGGTAGACTACTCTTTAAGAACGCGAGGCGAACTTGCAAGGTATCTCTTTGGTTGCAACAGTTAAGCGAGCATTTATAAAAACCAGACAGTCCCTCATACATTTTGAGTAGGTAACCAGCCGTGACTGTTGGATCATACTGGAGTTTTATTATCTCTGAGATGAATACCAGAAGCATTAGATTCGTTATGTGCCAACGTCAGTGTATAATGTAACATCTCTCTGCTTTGACCCATATCCTTTTCGGTCCCTGATATGTAGTACCTCGGCAACATTTACAGGTATTTATCTTCGGAGACCTTCTGTTGGTCATCATGGCGGGCATCTCTTCCCAACTTTTACACCTCCCAAAAAGACAATGCTTAACATTTATGCCCACACACAAGCTGCGAACCCTCTCAACGTGATGACATTAAATGCAAATATAATTCGACCGGCCTGATTTTGGGCAAATAAATGCAACTGCAACCCCAAACGCCAAGGCTATGCGGTAAAGGAATGGCTTCCGGCGAACTTTTCCCTCAATACGCCAGTTCAAAAAGCCTCAATAAGTTCTAGATGTAACCAAATGACCCCCTTTTGCCTTATGCAAACAACAGCAACGGCTGCACCGAACAACAAGTATTGACTTCGAGATCCAAGCAAGGACTCGACACTATAATCTAAAAGGCAACTTTGCCTCCGTTCAAGCGGAGTGGCACTGGTCCAAGTGGCCCATGAGAAGGAAGTATTCCCTCGTCTGAGGACATAGAAGATAGGGAAGACAGTGAGCTGAATCCCATGTGACCCTTTCCAAACCCTCCATTACGCCCCATAGAGATGCCAGGGTTGGCCATGAGAGCGTCGGCGCGGTCAAAGACATTCCCGTGGAATGCCGCTGCGAATGAACCACTTTGCGGCGTCGTGGGAACTGTCGCCTGCATGGCGGGTCCCAAAGCAGCACTCTGCGGAGTGATCGGGACCTGAGTTGGTGACATACCGCGAGGGGGGTAGTGCATCTGCCCGTTTGGCGTACCTGAGGGGTGGTTGAAAAGATAGTGCCAAGGGGACTTGGAGATGATGTTGCTGGTTTCCTTAATACTCTGCTGAATCGGTCGCAATCGTGCCCTTGTATCGGGAGGCAGTGGGACACTGTTGGGTCCATATTTGATCTGATAGATCATATCCGCCCAAGAGTGACTGAAGTTGTTACAGAGACTCCAAAAGCTCGCTTGTGTTCTAACTCCAGGCTCCTTGAGTTTGATAAGTGACAGTCTGTTCTTGAGAATCTCCGTCTGTTGAATAACATGTCCGCACATGGTTATCAAGGCTTTCCAGTGCTGAATCACACTTTCTGGGGTCCTCTGATACATGGCGTTCCTCAAGCCACCTGTCAGTTGGGCTTGGAAACTGGGAAGTGTCCCCATAACGAGATCAGTCGACCTTTGCAAGGATAGGAATATTTTCTCAAACTGCCGATCTTCTTCTGTGAACTCGGAAGAAATCCCGCGGCTGCCGATCGAGGAGAAAGATTCTCCTGACCGCGGTGTGGCCGATGCAATGGTGGCGGTTCGACCATTGCCATTGAGGTAAGCCGCAGAAAGGGGTGCAGGCACAGGCACATCTGTAGCAACACGCAAATTGATCGGATGGTGTACCAGAGTGCCGTTGCGGTTGCGAGCTCCTGTTGGCCTACCAACAGTGGGAGTAACGGAAGGTTCGCGTGCATGCGCCCTGAGAGTACGCTCACCCATCTGGTCTCCCTTGGAGGCTGCTTGCCGACGCCCATCCTCTGCGCTAACAGACGACAGCGTCACACGCAGTTCCATGATACTATTGTAGAGCAACATCAAGAGTGTTCGAATATATCGAGCATCTCCGTTGTTCACGAAAGTATCGATGTTATCGG